GTATAACCACTTACTGCTGTCGAACCTAGTATTGTTGGAAAAAATCCCTTGTGCCTGGATTGGAAGCATCACAAGGTCTGTTAATATACCACAGTGGTGAATTGGTTTGATAGATTAATAGCCCTCAGTTTACATACTGTATGCTTTAGGAAATAACACCTGGGTTCTATACTTTAACAGCTGTTTTTGGTAGAAGTGTTATTTGGGAGGAGAACTGACTCTGGACTTTCAGTTGCATCAATAAAACTAACATTACATATTTTTGTGTTGGCACAACAACCAGCGCAAGCAGCTCTCAGTTTCCTAACCTTGAAATTTGCTCTTTGTGGTGTTTTGGTGCCGGCACACAGGTGGGAGGAGAGGAGCTGACAAGAGCATTAGTCGTTCTATTTGTGCAAATAAAAAAGGGCCCAAATACCACAATGATTTTCCTTCATCTGCACAGTGGTCTTGTGCAGTTTAGCCATGTGCAATTTTTTTATGCTACATAACACAGTCTTAGCTATATGGTATTTATCTGGTACTCAGCTGCTGTGGAAATCAAGTACTCATTTCAGTTTGACAATGATTTAAAATTTTGAGCCATCATGATGAAATTCAGCTTCAGAAATGAGCACTTGAACAGCAACTTTTCTGTCTGTTGTTCCGGGGAGGATTTTGGTGATAACATCTAATATGCGTGGTGGTGTTTTTCTTTCCTGTATTCTTTGATGGTATCTCTTGTTCTTTTTTTGTCCGACTTCTCTGTCCTCCTCCTCTGTAACTCAAACCAATTCACAACGCCAAGGCTCCAGGAGACGACAGAAAGGCTCTGACTATACGTCTACCTCAGATGAAGAGTATGACTCAAACCAGAGCACTCCTAAACACAAACGCTCCCAACCTTCCTCAGCCTCTCATAGCCCGCGCCATCAGCCTCGGCCCCAGCCGGTGGTCGCCCTGCGTCCGAAACCCCGCAGCAGAGATTCTGAGGAGGAGAACCAAGAAGGAGACGCCTTCCAAAATTGGTCCAATCACAGTTCTGAAATTGCACGGTAAGGGATTTTTTTTTCTTCGGGTGTACATGCTGATATGACTTAAAAAAGGTTAAAATGGTGTGTTACTAGCATTACTAACACATAAGATGGTTTCACACTAGCATTTATTTATTGCACTCTCTATTAAAGGCCCTTAGGAGATCAGGGATTTAACATTTAGTGAAAATAATGTAAATATAAACATAATTCTTATTCCTGTCAGCCATCTTCCTAACACATGTTCCCTCCCTGCTAGGTTGAGTCAAGACCTGGCAAAAGACCTCGCTATCTTGGCCAGAGAGATCCATGACGTGGCAGGTGATGGTGATCCACAAAACTCTGGAGCGGAGAGCAGTGCACCTGTCTCCACTGTGACCGCTCATGAACAAGTAAACCTAACATCATTCTTAGGGCTGTTGCTGCGTAGTCTAACACACTTTTGTTGAAGGAGGAAGTATCTCTCAGAGCTTTTGTTGCAGATTATTTGCCCAGTTTAACTCATATGTCCCGCTGCCCGTCTTATACCGTAACTGTAACACTAATTTCTAAGGTCTGATTATGTTGCAGCTGGTTCATCGTATTCCAGAGGCTGGATTAAACTACCAGAGAGTCCCACCGAGTTCTGCGTCTCCAAGGGAACCTGACCAGAGCACAAGTGATCATGAACAGAGCTCCAGGCAGCGAGCTTGGAGCAGAGACGAGGTCTGACACAATATGCCCCTTCCCCTCATTTTTAAGACCTCTTTGATAATCCTCCACTGCTAGCGTCATAAAGTGTTTTGTTTTTTCTCTCCAGGTTATCGTGGACAATCTGGTGCTGAACCCAGTGTCTCAGATCACCATGGCCATCAGAGAAAACACTGAGCAACTTGCTGACAAAATTAAGTAAGACGTTACTTACACATCCTTTATTCCCATGTTTAATCCGGGTTTGATTAAAAACTGTATTCATCCTGTCTGACAGCCAGACTGCAACGAGCCAGTAATCTTATTAAACTACTGAGTGGGTCAGCATACAGACTTATAGTCTAACTGACAGTATGGGAGGACTGAGATATAATCTACTGGATAGATTAGATACAGTTTAAAAACGTTGGTGTTGTGAGAGTTAGCCACAGTTTGTTGTTTTTTTCCGACCTTTATTGACGGTTAAGCATATTTTAAGCGTCTGGATTTAGTTGCCACAATCGAAAAGCTTCAGGAACATCTCTCGTCCTCAGTTTTACAGACTAAATCAACAGTGTTTTGGATGCAAACATGCCCATTGTCTCTTTTAAAGAACACTGTAAAAAGTCCACTTTTTAACAGCTGATTTTGGCATTTTGCACACAGGGTACTGTTCCAGGATAGGATGGATATCTGGGAAGAAATTGAGGCCAAGGTTAATTCTGACAATGATGTTCCTGTTGTCAAAACATCCAACAAGGTTAGTGACTTATGTTCGTTAACTTTCAAGTTAAATGTGTGACAGTTTTTGATGTTCCTTTGAGCTAAGTTGAACAATTGTATTTCAGGAGATTACATCTATCTTGAAAGAACTCCGGAGAGTTCAAAGACAACTTGAGGGTGAGTTAACAATACCCTTCACAAACAATATAATACAAATGATATGATTATCTTAACAATGAAGCCAAACAATCAGCTAAAAACTTTATTTTCTTTTCCCTCCAGTCATTAATACAGTCATGGATCCCAGTGGGCAGCCTGAAGCATCCAAGGCCTCAGCCTCTGCCGTCTCCTCCTCATCCGGAGCGCGATCCTCCAGAGCTCCTGCCTCTCGAGACTGGAGAACAGTCCACTCTGCCTCCAAACGTGGCGGCGGCCCGAGGCCCAGTGAGAGCGTCAGGAGAGCAGCTGTGACACCTGACGATGTCAGAGCTGGATATTTGGTCTGAAACAAACACGCAGGTTCCACCGATGCTGAACTTCTGCTGTTGCTCCACAAACCCAGGTGTGGGACTGACGTGCTTACACTGAAACCAAGAGCGGGGGAAGTGAGACTGTATCCACAGAACTGTAGCCTCCCATACATCCAAACATACACACTACTGCACTATGAGCACTACACACCTACACTGTGGTGTAATTCACAGTGAAGCCTGCACTTAACGCCCTTAGAGTAAGCTCAGTGGGAGGCCGACATGCAGTATGAGGTGAAGATTTAAGGAAGTACCAAAATACTTAAATGAACCTCACATCTGGCAGGCCTTAGGACAATACTTGATTCTCTGTTAGACGTCGACCTCTTTATTTGCCAATGATATGACCAGCATTGCTGATTTTAAAAGCTCATTTGTTTATTTGAAAACCAACCTGAGCATAATCATCTCAGGGAAATCTGCTAATATATAAGATTTCTGTTTAGTGACAAATCACATTTTTGAGGAAATATTAGTACATTGATTTAGTTTTGCGTAGAAAGAACTGCAGTAACACCAGCAGATCTAAAGTGGACTGCGTACTTGCATCCTCAGTAAACCCATTTCTCCCTTGTTCGCCACTTTTCCCTCGGTGGACCAGATTTATTGAAGAATGTAAAAAGTATTTATTAGGGCTCTTTTGTGAGACACTGTAACCGAGACAACGTGACTTTGGGAGGGTTAGTAGACGCTAGTGCCAGACCAATTAATGCTACATTACACAGTTGCTACCAGCCAATTTCTTGAGTATTTATTCTGTTAACATTTCCCAGTGTAGCGACTCTGCCCAGGCTCTCCTCAGTAGGTGGACGCTATATTTTGTCCGGCTGGAGATGAAAACCCCTCAGGAATGTGTGGTCTGACTGGTAGGAGGGACTCCAGAGGTTAGTCACCTGGCAACCACAAACTCAAGTGGCTATAAAACAAGAGTTTTTGAAGCATTCCTGGTTTCTCTACCTTCTGAAAAGTGTGTTTTTTTATTTGTATCAGACACAGCTGGAGGCTTGAAAGTAGTTTTTGTTGTGTTTGTCATGCCTGAATAGCACAGTTAGTTGAGGGCTGGCCAAAGACAATCAGAAAACGACTGACAGGAGCGAGTGTCCTTATCTGTGTTTGTACTGAGCTCATCACACGACACCATATGCTTAAGAGCTATCAGAGCACTGTGGTAAGATTCGGTATTTCCTCTCCAGTCACAAGTTCACTCCTGATGGGTCCTCACATGACAGGAGATGTAATGTAAATTTAGCTTGGAAGTTGACAGTTACATGAAACTGTAAACCTGATGATTAGTGTCTGTTGTTGTGTATGTAAATATCTAAAGATATGTGTACGTCATACCAATTACCTCTCAATCTTGTCTTTTGCACTAATGTAGTACAACATCACCCCCTCGACCTGATATGCTGCAAACTGAAAGCCGTTACCCTCCTTGCAAAACATTGTAAACATTTGATGCTGTTGAGGTTTGAAGCAGGAGACAAGGCAACCCAGTATACCAGCGAGTTTCTGTTTCCCTCTCCCCAGTCTAGATTGTACACGTGATTGTAACTGGGAAGTACCTTCAAGTGCCACAGAGCTGTGTGGGACAGTGGTTGTTTACAAGCAAAAAAACTGAATGTTTGTCTGTTTCCTTCACTTGCTCAAAGTGTTGCTGCTATTCTTCTATACGGGATAGTATTTCCCCTTTGCTTTACTCCATCTAAACGCTACAGCCTGTTTAAGAGCTGAAATTTAGATCATATTTGTCAAATTGTTTCCCCTTTTTTGATATTCAACTCATGTTTCCCCTCCTTTCACCCAGAATGATTTGGTTGTAATTGTGCTGTCTCGTTAGTCGGTATTTATGTTTGGTTATTTGTGCAATTTGTTAGATGATGATTGCAGATTTTTCAAATAAAATATGATTAGCAAATGTTTTTTGTCAGGACTTTTATTCACTGACTACCCCTTTTTTATTCCTGGGTAAATACGTGTCTGAAAACCAGAAATGAAAGTAAAAACAGGAACTGTGCTATGATATATTCAGTAGCAGATATCACTTCAGCTCAGTTTCGAGTGAAAGCCCGGGGGGGAAGAAGAGAGTTTGTAGTGAGCTCTGTTTTGAGAAGCGTTGGCATCTGCTTTGTGTAAGTTGCTTTTGCTTTCAATACTTTGGAAACCAAACTTAGGAGATTTAAACTGCAAACTTATGCGTTCTTTCGTTAGTGTGGTCAGAACTGCAGTGTGTTTATTTTCCGTCTAAGAAGATAATTATCTGCCTTTGAACAGACAAAGGCAAGGAGCACTTGAAAGGAATAATGACCTCTACGTACAGCAGCCTTCATGACAATTATGTCTCAAACAAAAGGGTAAGACTTAAAGTTATTCACTCCATTTGGCTATGACACATTTCGTCTTATGTCTTGTTCTCACATGTATTTCAAACTTCACGTTGCTAGAGGTCGACCAGCTGTGTGACATTAGTTGTGGTTTTGGGCTGTCTGACAGTCCTGGGGATCGTGCTCGCAATCGCTGTGCTGGAAAGACCCCCGGCTCCAAAAGATCATGAGACACTTCCTGAAGTAGGCTGTGGGAGCGATATCTGCACGGATCAGTGCAGGTAATAATCCCACTGAAGATATGTATGTCATCTGCACAGTTATATTAGTATTAGTTGATGAATAACTGAATTGCTGAACAACTGTGGGTCAAAGTATATTTGCTATTGTTAGATTTAGTCATAACATTATGTAATAGTGTCACCACCAGGGAATTTGAGACTTGAGTGACAATGACTTTATAATTGTTTTGATTTTTAAACCTGTTGTATGTAATGATACAAAATAGATCTCTATTATATAACTTTTGTAATAAAACTGATGTTAAATAGGGTGTATACTGCTCGGTTATATCACAAAACATACACCATCTACATCTATTGACTTCATGGTTATTGATTCCCTAAATAGTTTTTCTAGTTATAGTCTCCAGTTCTGCTTTCAGACACTTCCCTCACCAGATGTCTTTGTTTATCTCCTAGCATGGCGCTGGTGGAGAGCATCCCTCAGCACATGAAGTTCAAACCTAATGCAACGCTTGGGATCTCTCTGGAAAAAGCCTGGAAAGATCTTCTCTCCATGGCAACAAACCAAGTGGATGTGTCGTCCTTCTACTGGACTTTAACTGGGGAAGACATTAACGTTAACTCCTCCTCTGACATACCTGTGAGTTGCAGCTAAAACACTTCGCTCTTGTTTAATTTGTTGTTGTCTGTGGACAGGGCCGCTAATATGGAGAGTCTGTCCTCTGCAGGGAAGGGAAATCCTGAAAGAGCTTGAAGAGCTGCCCTCCAGGAATGTATCTGTCCGAGTGGTCACCAGTGTTCCCAGTGTCAGAACAAACTCCACAGATTTAAAGATATTAAAGGAGAAAGGTTTGGATGTGACTCCCCTGTTGTTGTTCTCTACATTCACTACATTAGATTTTGTTTTTGCACCAGCTTCCCTTGACTGCAGTCTCCTCTTTGACTGTCTGTAGGAGTTCAGGTGAGAAAGGTGAACTTTGGGCGTTTGACACAAGGCGTCCTCCACAGCAAGTTCTGGATTGTTGACAGAAAACATGTGTTTATTGGAAGTGCTAACATGGACTGGAGGGCTCTGACACAGGTGACACCAAACATCTACAGTGCTTACTTTAAACCTTAAAGGTCCCATGTTGTAAAAAGTCAGATTTCCATTTCTTTTTTTAGCATAAAGCACATATGCTATGTAAATACCGTGACAGTATCAAAACCCAATCCATAGAGAAATAAACACAATCCATATTCAGAACCATGCTTTTAAATGGGCTGTCAGGATTTCCGTGAAGTTGTGATGTCACAACTATACAGACTTTTCCCACCTTAAAACATACATCGTAAATGGGCCGCTTTGTATTTCCTGTTGGAATCACACACTAAAAATTATGGAGGTAGCTACTGTGACATCACTCATTGGTTTGTGGACTCCCATTTTGAAGCCTCCAGTTTGGCAGTTTGGCAGTTTTATGCGCAACTTTAAGCCTTAATAAAATGTCAACTGGTGAGTTGTAAAAAAAATTCACCCCTGTACAGTTGTCATGATGTGGGAAATTAGCTAATGAGACCAAAACTGTTTTTGTACCAGGCTGTAAACATGTTTATTTCTGCTGTAAAGTTTGGCATTTTACATTCTCTGAACCCATCGGCTGTATTCGGCGTCTGACTTCCGGCAGACGGCGATACAGCCTCTGGGGGCAGACCCCCGATTTTTTGGCATTCCAGTTTAATTTGGGCGGAGGAGGCGAATTTCCGTTTCCGACTTCCGTTTATATATAAGTAAATATGCTGAATCATTGCGATGGATTCAGAGTTTGCAGTGATGCCAATTATGTTCCTCCTCGTTTGTTCACCGCACGTAGCGTTTAACCTGGCAACAACTGCAGCCGGCTCAAACGTGATTGATCAATATCACGCGGACTACAAACAGCCTAGCACCGGAAACCAGGGCTCTTCCGCTCTTCTTCCAGAGGCAAGATCTCCGGGGTTTGCCTACAGAAGTCTGTATATAGAGACTAGGCATTTTAACATGGGGTCCATGGAGATTGACTGACTTCTGGAGCCAGCCTCAAGTGGCCATTCAAAGAACTGCAGCCGCGGAGGTTGTCGCTTAGTTTGAATGTTTTGCAGTGTATATAAATAACATCAGCTGATAGAAAATAAACTTGGACACTAGCGGTTGCCAAACAATGCAATTCCAGTGCTGTTACAGCAATTCCCCCAGCTGCAATGATAAACGCAGAAACGCAGAGAGTGCAGATGTGGAAGACCCAGAGCTTTTTCCGGAGGTGGACTTAAAGAAACAGCAGGTGCTAAAAAGTAGTGTTTCAGGCAGAGGGTGAATACAGATGTCACTGAATAGACACTCTCTGGAAAACAATGTGTTTTTGAACATTAAAGTATGTAAACATTTTCTTGTAGGAACCCAAAATACAAGTATGAACCTGAAAATGAGCATAATATGGGATCTTTAAAAAACTGCCAAACAATTCTATAATTCACTTAACTTGTCTGTAGGTGAAGGAGCTGGGTGTAGTCGTCTACAACTGCTCCAGTCTAGCAAAGGACCTGCTGAAGATTTTCCAGTCCTACTGGGTGATGGGACAGCCCAACAGTACCCTGCCACAACCCTGGCCTGCAAAGTATGACACTGCCATCAACAAACATCACCCCCTGCAGGTGAAAGCTGATAATGTCTCCAGCAGGCTGTACCTCACAGTGAGTTCCTTAAGATTCAGTTCTTTTTTACAGAACATTGTTATTCTGGTGTATAAAGAGCTCTTGTTTCTGTTTACATTGAAGTGTGTGTATTACAGTTTTTAGCCACCTCTAAACCTCAAACCGTGAAATATAAGTCAGGTTTTATGAATGAAATGTTTTTGGTGGTGGTATTATTCCATATTTGTGTTTCACCCCAGGGTTCCCCACCTTCGTTCTGTCCTCCGTCGAGGACTCAGGACCTGGAGGCCATTCTCTCCATCATCTCAGAGGCCCAGCACTACATGGATGTAGCCGTCATGGAGTACTTCCCCATCACGCGCTTTGATAAGCCTCAGAGGTGACCCACAAAAGAAACCAGTTGTTTCCATCGCGCAACTCACCTCTTTTGCTTTATTCTTCAGTTTCTCTTCTTCTTTTACGTGAACAGATACTGGCCTGTCATTGACGACGCCATCAGGACGGCTGCTTTTGAGAGGAGGGTTAAGGTCCGGATGCTGATCAGCTGTGGGCGGGACTCTGATCCAGGCATGTTGCCCTTCCTTCAGTCTCTGGCCTCGATGGACAGCCCTCGCCAGGATATCAGCATCGAGATAGTAAGACACAACATAAAATAACTGCATCTGCTGGGAGTAAACACAGATCTTCGACTCTGAATTTTCTTTGTTGTTTGCACATCATTCTCTTTTCAGAAACTGTACATTGTGCCTGTGGGAAACCAGTCTGATATTCCATACAGCAGAGTCAACCACAATAAATACATGGTGACTGATAAAGTCGCCTACATTGGTGAGTGGGAGATCATCTTCAGTGTTTTTATTTCCACTCATTTATAGTTCACTTTAAACTCAGCAAAATTCCTGTGCATTCATGTGTTGAGGAGCCATTTGTTACATGTGAAATGGTTAATCATTGACCAGATAATGTTATGTTTGTTCCTCAGGTACCTCCAACTGGTCAGGGGACTACTATCTGACCACAGCTGGAGTGGGTCTAGTGATTTCCCAGCATGCTCCTCACCCTATATGGGAGACCAAGGCCCTGCAGGGCCAGCTCAGGGCAGTCTTTGACAGAGACTGGTTCTCTGAGTTTGCTGTGCACCTCGCTGACCTGGGGCACCACCCAGACTGTGCACTATCACGATGACAGAAACTCCCTTATAAAAGGACATAAAAATATTTTTTATTATTGAGGTCAAACCACAGTTTTGATTTATGTTGATGTTTTTATATTATCTTTGTCCAACTTAACAGCTTTTGTATGTTAGAGGGAAAAATGACAAATCATTTTCGGTAAAGTGAACGTACACTGACAGTAAGGATAAACTGGAGGTTTTTAAAAATGGAGCACTGACATCAATAGTTTAAAGTATACCAGCTGTAATGTAATATAATGCACCTGTACCTACAAGTAAGGTTTACTGAGTTATTATTGATGTTTTTATAAGATATGATGGGTGTTAAGTGCTGAGCTGATGGTTGAATTTGTGATTGCTGTATATGTTTTATAACTATTAAAACATAGCCTATATACTGTTTCAACATCTATGAGACTTTGTTAACAATAAAAATAATGTGTGTCGAAAGTCGGTCATTTCAAAACCACAGCTGCAGTTGTAAGAATGAAATTTTAGTAAACTGCAATTGTGTCACCCAGAAAGTTTGTACTCTTATTTTGGCATTGTCCTGATGCAGGATGCTCAGGGGAAGCAATAACAAGATTCATACTGATTACATAGTCTTCAACTTTAAGATTTGTTTTTTTTAAATTGCTGTTTAGTTTAATATTTATTAAAAGTAACCAAAATAAAATGTACTTTGACACAATCGCATTAAAGCTAATAAAAAGCAATTTAAAATTATAGCCGGTTCTGTTTTTGATGCTGTAAAGATATTTAAAAGATGTGTCTCTTTTCTGACGAGGCACATCTTAAGTATTCAGGATATCTTTATTATCCCTGTGAGGCAAATTGTTGAGCAGTCAGCAGTTTCATACACCAGACAGAACATTGTCTGTTTATGTGATAATGTCTCAGTGCTTTCCACTAGATATTAAGTGTTGTTTACATATTTTTATGCTTAATTCAGTTCAGTTCAATAGAACTTATCCCAAGGGGAGTTCTTGTGCCAGAGAATGCTTCAAAATACAATAACACAAAGTACAGTAACCACAATTTAACATTCACAACCAGTGGGTTCCCCAGGTCAGGGTCACTCACTAGGCCCAGTTTTAGAAACAATAGAATATTAAATATCTGGCAATATATACCAATATACGAGATAAGAAGTGTATAGTGTGTAGAAGTTTAATCAACTAATTCAGTGGGACACATATGTAGAAATGTATACATGGGTAACATACAGCACAATTTGATCTTAACTGGGCCGAACCAGTAAAACCATTGCAAGGTAATCTGTAAATAACAACTCAACATGTTTCCCTCTCTTTTAGTATAAAGAAGTACACTCTGAAAATGTTCATGCTTTTGCAAAACAGATGAATGGCCTTAGATATCTCAAGAAAAATAAGTGCAATTTCGACATGTCTGTTTTTCCACATTCAGTAAAACTACTCACATATGCACACATTTCCACTCCTGTGTAGTATGCTGGCATCACCACATCAGACTAAAGTGGAAGCCATCAAGGAAGGAGGTTATCGCCGAAGGAGGGAAGTTATCCCCTGCCTTACAGACCATTTACAAATCAAAGGTCTTGGCAGTGCCTTAGTAAAAAGTTCCACCAATATTGTTTTAAAATATTAGTCTGATACCATTACTTTTGTACTGACGCTGCTGATTCACAATACTTTGCACTGTGTTGAATATCTTTAAATATGACAACAAGAAGCCTCATTTTACAAGACGTTGACTACTCACTGTTTAACTTGCTCCTGACATTTGGTAACTCTTAGACATCAGAAGTGCATTAACATTAGGTGTGCAGAGTCATCCAGTGAGCCGGATTGGACCCTTTTTTGGCCGGGGGCCGTATGTTTGACGCCCCTGGCCTAAATGGACCTGTGTGTTATTCCTCTCCCTGACAGTAGAGGCGCTGTGATTAAACGCTTGTCTCCGCAGTGAGGGCGCAGGGCGGGGCTCCGGCTGGTGTAGGTACGTGTGCTTCACAGCAGTTAGCTTTCAGCCAGTAAACCGAAGCTAAAGCTGAACTCAGAAACATGGTGCTGCTCGAAAACGATTCGGTAAGAATAAAAAGCATATTGTGAATAACTTCAACTGTCGATGTTAATGCTAAAAAACTAGAAATCAACACTGCTTTAGCTAAGTTAACCGATATCCATAACGTTAAACAAGCTAACGTTAGTCGTCTAACTGACTCATTAGCCAACCGGCTAACGTTTGCTTGAAGCTAACACTGAATTTGCGTCAAGATGCAGCTACGTTAGTTTAGTTACTGCACTTTCTACCAAAATAAGGTAATGTTGCGTAGAAGTGGTTAATATTTCGTCCACAGACAACAATACAGTCAAATTTGTACTGCAAGTTAATGGTAGCACTCAGTAACGTGTATTTCAAGACTGCTAGCGTTAACTCGAGTAACGTTAAGCTAACTTACAAGTTAGTTTCTTAAAACTGACGTCAGCTTGTTCAACTAGTCGTTTTTGTAACCCATCGTCATTTGTGAGAGTATGAGGTTGCGTTACCACACCACTGTTAATGAGCGCTACATTTGGCTAGCTAAAACTAATGCTGTCTGCTAGAAAAGGCTGTTGACTATTTTGTTCTCTTTCTTTAACGTTATGTTAATGAGAGTAGGCTAATTTAAAAGTTTTTAGTATGAGGCAATAGCAAAACAACCAGAAATCATGGATTACCAGAACCATTCGGAAACATGAATAGTTACAGAGAGCAGCCAACTGTGCGAGAAGACACAAAAAGAATACATTATAATGCCTAAGTTAAAGGAGCTGATGGGATTACCTTTCACTGGAGTTAAACCTTAAACAATTACACATGATAATAAATGATTGATTGATTAATCACAGACACATTAAACACCACCACACACTTCTAAGAATTATCCTAGAAGTGTGTAAACACCTCAACAGTATCAACAAAACTTAACATTATAACCATTTTAAAGGTTGTGTTTTTGCAGGGATGTTGACTGAGTTAGTTTAACAGATACAAACATTTTATATGATTTTATTCATATATCTTTTAATTTCTTTTTGTTAAATTGAGTGAAGCCTTTAATTTTACTTCACACTTGCACTTACCTGCTGGCAAAATGTAGATCAACTTAATTCAATCTAATAACCATATTCCTACATAACATCTACCTCTGCACAAGACCACTTATATACTGTTTACATGCCACGTCATTTGTCCAAAAGTCTGTCCTAAATTTGGTTAAAAGTTGTCTTGAAATTCTTAAAAAGCATTGAATTGATTCCCTGCTGTTTAAATATCATCACTGGGGCTCTAATATTTGTTTTTGCTTTTTTCCAGTTTCTCACAGAGCTCACGCGGCTGTTCCAGAAGTGCAGAACATCTGGCAGTGTCGTCATTACACTAAAGAAATGTAAGCAAATCCCTCCTGACTTTTGACAATAGTCATTCATGTCTAATCAGTAGGTGAAATTTTGAGTTTACCCTTTGAACATCTAAGCAGCTGGAAGGGGATGTGTTTCTTGTTTCCAGATGACGGGAGGACCAAGCCGCAGCCCAGAAAGGGCCACGCAGAGTCATTTGAACCAGCAGACAACAAATGTCTCATCAGAGCATCTGACGGCAAGAAGAAAATAAGCACAGTGGTGAGTTTACTGTGTTTCCTTTGTGTTTGATGTTATAGATCTGTGATATTTTGCTGTTAATGCTGAATTCTCATTTCTCTCTATTTCAGGTCAGCACCAAAGAAGTAATCAAGTTTCAAATGGTAGGTTGATTTCAGTGTTGTTTTAAAGCTAGTTCTCTGGGTAACTGCATGCACACTTTCTTAATTAAGTCTCCTTGATGTTATTCAAATTATCTTTAGTGTCATAGCAGTTTGTCTTTGATAAATGAGCTGTGAGAATTTAATCATTGTCTCCTCTTCACAGGCATATTCCAACCTCCTTAGAGCTCACATGGATGGACTTAAGAAGAAAGATAAGAAAAGCAAAAGCAAGAAAACCAAAGCCACACAATGAGCAACAGACTCTTTAACATAACCATGGGTACCTAAACTGGCCTGTACCATCTGAGGAAATGGGAAAGGCCTCCATCTGGTCTGTTGCCCCACTCAGCTCTCTTCCCATTCACCTGAGGCCTCAGAATCACTGTTCATCCACCCGGTGACTGCTTTGATATTATGCCATTGTTTGCATGGTAATGTCTCATCCCTGGCTGTTCGAAGCCATCGGCCATCTGGAACAGAAAACCTGAGGATCTCCCGTACAGGATGAAGCAAGTCAACTTCATTGAATCGCCACCATATCTGCTTCGGAACCAGGTCATTCACAGCAGCGTCACCTCCATGGAGCCAATGTTTACCTGCCTTTCATACTATTTAATTGTTAGAGTCCATATTTATGTTATATTTGCCACTGACCTACGAGCTGTGCTGCCATGTTTCAATTTGACTGCGCTTTGAGAAGCATTATAGGATTTTTTTTAATTAAGTAAGCATCTAATTTACTGCAAAGTTGCTTTGAAGCACAGAACTTAATTTAATCAGATCAGATGATATGTTTTTTATTTTAAACACATTTTATTGTATGAAGCTTGATACTGGAGATAAAAATTGACTTAATTCTATGTTTTTAGTACACCTCCTGAAGTACAATGAATATTATTTTTGTTTTGAACCATGGTATCAAACCAAACTGTCAAACTGGCTGTCTCACATTGTTAAAGGCCAGTAATTCCTACTGTGTAGCTTCGGTGCAGGTGGTTAAGTGAAATCTGAGTGATGAAACAACACACAAAATGTTAAAAGTTGTAGATTTTACTGAAAGGCATGTTTGAGTTATGAGTACAGAGACAAAGTCTTGGCTGTAATTCTAATAATGTTTCTGTTAATCACAATGACAAGGCAGATATCACTACAGCCACTATATTTGTATTGTCTCTTTGTGCTCTCAGGTCCTGATCTCATGGAAGAGGACTGCAGCAGAATTTAAGTTCAGAAATAAAGTGCGTTGTTGAAAATCACTACGTTGTTCTTTTGTCCATAGTGATTAAAAAAAAGCAAACACTGACTGCAGTAAACATGTAAACGCGAGCGATGTAGAAAAGGAGACACTAAATACATTATATACATGAACACATTTCTGTGCTGCACTGGTAAAAACAGTCTGAGTTGTGTTAAGAGAAGAAGCATCTCATAGCGCCGTGTTCTTCTTGTCTGGTCTTTCCTTCGGGGAGTGTGCGAGGTGGCGCTGTCGGTTGCTCTCCTCCTCGTATCCCTGCTTCATGAGGCTGGTCAGGTACTGGAACATGGTCTGTGATCAAAACAAGTAGTGGAGGCAGAAGTATTCAGACCTTTTACTTTAAACGTAGCAATACAACAGTGCAGAAATACTTTGTCACAAGTTAAAGTTCTGCATTCAATATCTTAAGTAAAAGTGGAAAGGAATAGGCTTTAAAATACAAAGTTAAAAGTACTCGTGCAGAACGGCCTCTTTCAGAATATTATTAGATCAGACTTAGTGATGAATTAATGTAGACATCACATTAATGGTGCAGCTGGCAAAGGTAGAGGTGGTTTTTACTTTATATACTGCTGAGAATTATGTGAATTTTCCCAAGGGATCAATGGAAGTTTCAGATCTATCCATAGTAATACGTCATAATTTATTTGATGATTATATTATGTATTAATCTCAATCTGCAAAGTGACTAGTAGGCCTAACTAATGTAAAATTAGTGTACAAAGTATGATATTGACTTCCAAGATGTAGTAGAGTTGTACTTGAGTACAGTACTTAAATTACAATCTACCATTACAAAAACACACTGAACTGGGCCCCCATAGGTGAAGGACATTCATTCACATTAAATTGTATGGAAGGGAAGTGTGTATTACTTTGTATGCAGACAAATTTGCTGTTCAGTCACCATCTTATATATATGTGTACTGTGCTTAATTATCCAGCCAGGGCCTTAGAAATATGCTTTTCTATGTGTGAATCAGTGAAAAACTGTGCTAACAGATATTGTTTGGTTGTTCACAAACATGCACCAAAGTGGTGGATGTGGGATAGGGAAGGTTCGCTGAAAGATATGTGCAGCTGAGTTATGAAATCAATATTTTATTCTTGATTAAACTATGGTTACTGTTTACATATAAAATAAATTAATTAAGCAGTTACTTGAAGAAAGTGTGGGAGACGAGAGAAAAACTCTTGGTATAAACTTTAGATTTGCAGCAGTTCTTCTTGGTGCACAGTCTGTTATTATTTAGAGTATCAAATTAACCTAATTTGATAATCAGTTAATCAGTTTGAATTATTGAAAAAATAACTAAAAAAAAAAATTCTCTGATTCCAGCTTCTCAAATCTAAAAATTCTCTGGTTTCTTTGATCCTCTATGACAGTAAACTGAATATCTTGTTGTTGTGGTAAAAACAAGACATTTGAGGACGGCATCTTGGGCTTCAGGAAGCACTGATTGGCACTTTTTTTTTTAATTTATTTATTTTTTTATTTACCAGTTTCTGCCATTTTATAGACCAAACAATTCCTCAATTAATCAAATCAACACTAATCAACAATGAAAATAATTGTTAGTTGCAGCCTTATTATTATTGTTTCACATAAATATGTCATTCAAGACTATAGAAGCAAACATAAATAAGAAGTTTTGGATTTGTATACGTGTTATATATATATATGTGTTT